ACTGGACCAGGGTCTTCACCCTGAGCCCTTACCCAGTCCTTCACTGAAACTGAGATAAGGTCTCAGTAAGTTGTGCAGGCTGGGCTTGAATTTATGATTCTCCTCCCTCAGCCCCCCAGAGTACTGGGATTATAGGTATGTACCACCATGTCTGGCTTATTATTTATTTTCAAGACAGGGTCTTACTTTTTTTTTGTCTTTTTCTTTTTGATTGGTACCGGGGATCGAGCTCATAACCACACACTTGCAAGGCAGGCGCTTATGCTGCTGTCCTAAATCCCCAGCCCCCGGGTCTCACTTTTTGCCCAGGCTCCTCTTTAACTCCTGTCCTTGTGATCCTACTGCCTTTGCCCTTTGAGACAAAGAACATTAGGTGAGCAACCACCTTGCTAAATCTTTTTTTTTTAATTTTTTTAACTGTGGTAAGATACACATAACATAAAACTTAATATCTTAACCATCTTTAAGTGTATAATAGTGTTAGGTATATTTGCATCATTGTGCAATCAATCAACTTTTTTATTTTGTAAACTTGAAACTCCATCCTCATTAAATAACTCCCAACTCCCAACCCCAGCCTTTGGGCAACCATCATCCTACTTTCTGTTTCTATGATTATGACTATTATAGATACTTCTTGTAAGTGGACTCATTTATTCTTTTAGGTCTGGCTTATTACACTTAGTATGATGTCCTTAAGAGTCATTAATGTTTAGGATGTCAGAATTTTCTCCCTCCCCCTATCTTTTTGTTAAGTCAGAGTCTCACCATGTAGTTCAGCCTGGCCTTAGACTCACTGGTAGCCCAGACTGGTCTCAAACTCACAGCAATCCTCCTGCCTCAACCTCCCAAATTCTAGGATTACAGGTATATACCACCATGCTGAGCTCCTTCTCTTTTAAACTGAATAATATTGTTTTCCTAGAACTAGGGATTGAACCCAGGGCCTTGTACATGCTTGTAAGTGCTCTAGTGCTGAGATACATCCCTAGCCCTTTTTATTTTAGTTTAAGATAGAGGTTTGCCTAATTGCCCAAGCGGGGCTCAAATTTACGATCCTTCTGTTTCAGCCTCCCAGGTTGCTGGGATTGTGTGTGCCACCACATCTAGCCCTCTCTTAATTTAATGTGCACTAAGAGGTATCCCCAGATACTGTCCTGCTTAGAGTTAGGAATAGAGAGAATAGAGAGAATGTTGTTCTATCAAGAAATCATGGTTGAAAGGGAACATTTTATAATTCTCAAAAGTTCTTTGTTATTATCAGTTGCCTAAAATTTTTCAATGTTTTGATATATGCTAATTATATATTAATATTTGATTGTGGCATTAAATTACAAATCTTTTCTGATCATCTGATCTTTCCTGCCAGATCTTCCCTCCCTGAAAAGTGAAGAAAATATTCACCTTTAAGGAGGCCTGAATTTTGGGTTGAACTTCTCAATTTTCCCACACCACACTCAAGAGAAAACCTTGCTTATCTAAAAATCAAGGTTTTTTTAAGCCAGGTGTGGTGGCTGACAGATCTTAGCACTCAGGAGGCTGAGACAAGGGGATTACTGTGAGTTCAAGGCCAGCCTTGAAACCTGTCACTAAAAGACCAAAAAGAAAAAAATAATTATAGCGTTTAAAAACTTTGTGTGTACGTACATGTGTGTGAGAGAGACAGACAGACAGACACTAGGAATAGATTCCAGGGCCTTCACACTTGAACTAAATCCCTGCCCTTTTTTCATTTTTTATTTTGAGACAGGTTCTTGCTAAATAGCTCAGGCAGGCTTCAAACTTGCAATCCTGCCTCAGCCTCCAAAGTGTTATGATTATAGGCATGTGCCTTCATGCCCAGCAAGGCTAACAGGATTTTGCGATACATTCAGAAATAAAACTTCTGGTTGCAACTTGATGAATCATAAACAAAACTCTTTACCTGATTTTAAAAGATAAATACTCACCAAACGATTTTCTACTTCAGTACATATCTTTTGCAGACAATCAGCTTTCCTCTATATACACCCTCCAAATATTTGTGTCACAAATATGGGCGTAAAACAAAACCCCTAAGAAGCCACCGCGTGTGAAAACACTGTTCACCTGTAGCCTGCACTGGAAACAGTATATAAATCCAGGTAGCAGGATAAGTTCTGAGGCAAATGACCTGTTTTTGGAGGTTCCTGAGGACTATCCAGTGAAAGCACTAAAGTGCAAAAAGAGGAAACTGCGACCCAGAAAGAACAGTCATTTCCCAATGCCAAAATAAATCCCAAGTGACTCAGCACAGGCCTCGTTCAATGCCACACTTCTCTTCCTCCACTGTTACATCCTGGGATACTTCTTGATGCTCTATTTTGCTACTTGCTGATTGTGAAAATAATCATATGGCTGAAGCTTCTCATAATTTACATGTGAATGCCTTAAGTAAAGGGTTGTATATCAATAAAACTCACCCTGAGAAAAAGTTCTGTTGGAGTAGGACCAGGTGGCCAACTTCTAGAGAAAGTTGTTTTCAGGGACCTCTGAATGACTTTTCAGAGAACAATGGGCCTTTCTAAAGAAGGAAAATCACAAAGCCCCTTCCTTGTATGTCAAGGCAGGGCCTAAAATACCCTCCCCCCATGTAAGGTAAGGTACACTAAGAAGCTTTGGATAGAGACCTTCACATCAGCACAGACCCATGTACATCCACACAACATCCAATAAGGGATTTTCATGTAGTGTTTAAGGTAAAAATTTAAACAGAAGTGATTGAGAAGAACAAAAGCCTAGATACATCCCTAGAGAACTGCATAAACCCAGGTATCCCCCAAACTGTGACCCTAACTGCCTCTGTACATGTGAAATCATCTAGTAACTAACAGTATAATCTATTATTTCAAAAGCTTATAAAAATCTATGAACTTCTCAACCATATGTAAAGTAGGTGAGTTAACAAGCTTGTAGAATTTTTGCATTTTCTGGTTTAGGAAGTAGGAGTGGTTGCGGCTACAAATGTGTACTATGCCCATTAACAAATCTATACGTCCTCTGTCTAGTATTGGTCATTTGAGTAAAAGGGAAGTGGCCAAAGGTTAACAAAATCATATATAGAATGTAGAACCCATTCAAAATCTTGTTCAGGTTTCCCCAAAATCAATGGTAACATATTTCTTTCCTGACAGAGAAATCAGATTGTTTCTGTATGTTATAAATTATTTGAAAGTACACAGGGTTCTTTTATCTGATCCAAAAATTCTTGGTTTGAAGATAACTGAAATGAAATTATGAAATCCTATCTTCTCTGTGGGCATTAAAGACCCCAAGGCTACATTCTAAAAGGCAGCACTGCCCTGCTTCCGTAGAAGGCAATTCATAAACTATCAGACATCCGCTGTCGTATTTTCAACCAGATCAAATACTTGTTTTTTTGTTTTTGTTTTAAAGTACACTTAGGTCAGCACTTACAAATACACCTACTACAAATACAATTTGGATCATGCAATTTGTAGTTTAAGATGTTGATGAGAAAGAAGACCAGATTCAGGGAAAAGTGTTCTTGTTTAATGGCAAAACCGACTGAGGGCATCGGGTAGCAGCAAAATGCGGAAGTGGAGGTAAGTTTTGACGCATAAAGTCTAAGGAAACACAACAGTGTCTGGAAACTACCAGGAGATGCTATAAGGAAGCAGTAATGGATAATTATAGAATATTCCAGAATAAGGACCTCAGAATGTCAGCGTTGAACTCAGCTGAATAAAACAGTTTCTCTTTCTCTCCCCCATATAAAGCACAAGGTTAGAGAAAAAGAAACAAAAAAAGTCTTTATTATAGAGTAAGGTTGTACTAACACAGGCATAGTAGGGAGGCATCAGGGATGGTACACACAGGGAAGAGAGTTGGGGTGATGTTTACTGCTGGGAGGAGGGTCTTGCAAGGAAAGTAAAGGGAGAAGGGTGTAAAATGAGGGTAAAGAATTGGAGGATAATTGTGGGAAGAGGCTGTGCAGACGTCAGCAGCAAAGCAGGGAAGAACAGCGTCGGGGCGTGGCCCAGAAGAGGGAAAGACTCCATAACGGGCTACGGATTCAGAAAAGCAGCGTGGGGGAGCGCATGGCTGACAGCTGCTTTCCCACGGCGCCGACAGGGTTAATCCTCAGGGTCGCCCGGACTAGGAAGAACTCGGTTTCCAGGGCAACGGCTCGACAGTTCCGGCAGCGCAGGCCCGTACCATTGCGCGAGCGCGTGCGGGGGGAGCCAGGAGGGAGGAGGGCCGTGCAGAGGTTCAGTAGGGCCGCGGCGTCCGGGCCGGACTCTACCAAGCGCGCGGCTCGCCTGCTCGCCCAGGGGTCCGTGCCGAGCCGCGTTCCGGCCGCTGGCCGTGCGGCGTCCTCAGCAGTGGGCCAGCAGTCCCCAACCGCTGCGGACGGCGCGGGAGAAGGAACGCGCGCCCCGAGGCCCGGATTGGCCTCCTGGTCCCCCCGCCTGGGCGGCGGAGTGCGGGCGGCCCGGGGCTGGGAGGTTTGAAAAGCGGGCGAGAGACAAAGGCAGCAGGAAGCCTCCTCGGCGCCTGGCCCCGGGCCTCTCGCCGGCCCGCGCAGCAGCGGCGGCATCCGGAGGCGGAGGATGCGGCAGGGGGCGTGGGAGCGGCGGCGGCCGAGCGGGCCGTGAGAGTAGAGCCAGCGGCCGGGATTCGGGACGAGCAAGCAGCGCCCTCCCCGCCCGGGATGTGAGGAACGAGCGAGCCCGAGGCGGGGGAGGGCAGGGACGGGACGCGAGCAGCAGGAAGGCCGGCAGGAAGGAAGGACGCGCGGCCCAGGAGGAGGAGCGGCGGCGGCCGGGCCGGAAGGCGGGAGGGGCCCTGCGCTGGGCCCTAAGCGGCGGCGGCGGCGGCGGCGGCGGCGGCAGCAGCAGCAGCAGCAGCAGCAGCAGCAGCAGCAGCGACCCGGGCGCTCTGCGTTCGTCGTCTCCGCGGGGCCGAAGCGGCGGGGCCCACACCTCCTCCCCCCCAGCGCCGCGTAGGGGGGAGGAGGAAGATGGAGACCCACATCTCGTGCCTGTTTCCCGAGCTGCTGGCCATGATCTTCGGCTACCTGGACGTACGGGACAAGGGGCGCGCGGCGCAGGTGTGCACGGCCTGGCGGGATGCAGCCTACCACAAATCGGTGTGGCGGGGGGTGGAGGCCAAGCTGCACCTGCGCCGGGCCAACCCGTCGCTGTTCCCCAGCCTGCAGGCCCGGGGCATCCGCCGCGTACAGATCCTGAGCCTCCGCCGCAGCCTTAGCTACGTGATCCAGGGCATGGCCAACATTGAGAGCCTCAACCTCAGCGGCTGCTACAACCTTACCGACAACGGGTTAGGCCATGCGTTTGTGCAGGAGATTGGCTCCTTGCGCGCCCTCAACCTGAGCCTCTGCAAGCAGATCACCGACAGCAGTCTGGGGCGTATAGCGCAGTACCTCAAGGGTCTGGAAGTGCTGGAGCTGGGGGGCTGCAGCAACATTACCAACACTGGCCTCTTGCTCATCGCGTGGGGGCTGCAGCGCCTCAAGAGCCTTAACCTCCGCAGCTGCCGCCACCTTTCGGACGTGGGCATCGGGCACCTGGCCGGCATGACACGCAGCGCGGCAGAGGGCTGCCTGGGCCTGGAGCAGCTCACGCTACAGGACTGCCAGAAGCTCACAGATCTTTCCCTAAAGCACATATCCCGGGGTCTGACGGGCCTACGGCTCCTCAACCTCAGCTTTTGTGGGGGCATCTCGGACGCAGGCCTCCTGCACCTGTCGCACATGGGCAGCCTGCGAAGCCTTAACCTGCGCTCCTGCGACAACATCAGTGACACAGGTATCATGCATCTGGCCATGGGCAGCCTGCGCCTCTCGGGGCTAGATGTGTCATTCTGTGACAAGGTGGGGGACCAGAGTCTGGCTTACATAGCCCAGGGGCTGGATGGCCTCAAGTCCCTCTCCCTCTGCTCCTGCCACATTAGTGATGATGGCATCAACCGCATGGTGCGGCAGATGCACGGGCTGCGCACACTCAACATTGGACAGTGTGTGCGCATCACAGACAAGGGCCTGGAGCTGATTGCTGAGCACCTAAGCCAGCTGACTGGCATAGACCTGTACGGCTGTACACGCATCACCAAGCGCGGCCTGGAGCGCATCACGCAGCTGCCCTGCCTCAAGGTACTCAACCTGGGACTCTGGCAAATGACAGACAGTGAGAAGGTCAGGTGAGGACGGCAGCACCTTGTCCCACCTGTTCATCCCCTCTTCACCACCACCACCACCGTCCCCATACACTCATACATAGATCATGTATTGGCTGAGATGGGGCAGTGACAGGAAGCCCAGGCTCCTTTTCTCCTCCACGGCGTCCCTCCCTACTACCAGCCCCTCCCTCTGCCTCTGGGGCACTTCTGTCCTGCTCTGCTCTCCCCTTCCCTGCTGGTGGAAAGATGGATTCTGCTGCTCACCCACCCATTCCTCTGCAGGGGGATGGGGACTGATTCAGCCACCGACCCTGTGCCCACTGCCTCCCTCGAATTTGGAATTGGGGTGGGGGTGATTGGTCCTTTCAACCCTGAGGAGCTGAGGGAAATGGCTGCCTTCACTTAAGATTTCATTTGGATACTGTGATCTGGTTTTTATTTCAAAATTATAAAAAAACACACCCAACCACAACCGCCTCTTCACCCTTCTTCCACTTGGTAACTAACCCCGTCTCTGCACACTTCTCTTTTTACAGTACTCTGCTAGTCATGCTCATTTCATTTTTATCTACTTTTTTTTTAAGAAATTGGAATTCATGGTCCTTTTTTTTCTGCTGAATATATTCTATATATTCTATATATAAATTATATATATTATATATAGACATATATATGTGTCTGGCTACCTCGTTTTAGTTTACTTTTTCTCTAAAGCCCTGGAATTCTACAAGAGAGATATTTTAAGACTGAAACATTTTTGTGCCTAGACTGGAAAGATGCCCATTGGGTTTGTGCACCGTTTTTTTATTTTTGTTTTTTGGCTTCTTCCCAACCTCCATCCACCCAGTGTGTCCCACTTCCACATTCTGGTTACAGTTTTTTTTCTCCTTATCCATTGGGATTAGGGGACCCAACCATGTGTTTGAGTCTTGGCTTAATTTATAGCACAAATACAGAGAAATGAAAGTTGTACTGCTTTTTTTTGTTAAAGATGCAGATTGTGTCTTGAAGATTATTATTATATATGCAAATTATGCCCTATCCTCACCTTCTTCCAAGTTTCCCCACAGAAAGGTCACAGAGTGAGGCTTCCTATTGGAAGCACAGAGCAGAGTTGGCCTGCAGAGAGAGACCTTGGGGCTGTAATGTGAAAAGGAAGAGACTGAATCATGTCTTACCTGTATTCTGTTAATAAAATGGGAGTTTGTGGGTTTTAAAAATTTGTTTCTAAATGGAGGAATAGATGACTTTATTTTGGTGGGGGTTGGGACTTGTGGCTTTAAAAAAAATCGCTTTTGAGTAGGATGTATATTTTTGTTGGATTTTGTTTGTTTGTTTATTTTTTTAGAATCCTCCAGCTACATGTGAGACCATGGAGTTAAACCCAGAGACCTTTATCAATTAATTGTACTGTTTGTGAATTTGTATAAATAATAACAAAGATCCTCTTAAAACGTTTATATTCTTACAGTAAAAGGTTAAACTGATATTTATATAATAAAAGAGGAAATATGAAGTATGTTTTTGAAAAAAAAAGCACAAAAACCTTGTATCTGTGAATTATTTTTAAGGCATTCTGTGTTTGGGTACTTGCCAAAGTGGGAGCGCTGTCTGTACACGCTACAGTAAAGGAAATTATAAGGTAGAGTTCGGTGCATCCTATGTGGTGTAAGCTCATAGTTAAATATTTCTTCTGTGTAAGGTTTACTACTGACACCCTAATGTTCTGTTTCTAGAAATGTGACTCGACTGGAGATTTATATAATTTTTGGTTTTAAATTGTCAACATGGAAATTTAAAGAAACTGAACAAAATGAAACTTTTAAAAAAAAACCAGACTTGAAAGAGTCACAATTTCCCCCGAGTGGCCAGTTTTTCTTTGGGTAGAAATGAGATCTAAGGGTAATACTGAGAAAAATGGGTCATGAGATATAGAAATGGGTGAGAGGCTGTGGGAAGAAGGTGAAGGGTGGAAGGAGCCGAAGTCACTGTTCAGAAAAGTTAAAAGCGCGCTGTCCTTGCTGGCTGGCTCACGCAGTCATGCATACTGATCTCACAGTGTGAGGGTCCCAGTGGAAATGAGGCGGTTCTACCCTTCTGTTTAAAATTCCCCTCCAGTGCTGGCTGTGTTGAAGTACTTTCCTGGGGGTGGGGAGGTTGGCCAGTTGTACATTTACATTTTAAGCACTTCCAATGGGGCTGGCCACTCTATCCAGTCTGTTGAGAGTTTTTAGACTGAATTTAGGGAAGATAAAACTAATTCTAGCAAAGAATTCCCTTTGGTAGACAATTAATAATCTGACACCGTATGCTTGTGAAAATCTCAGAGTACTAACACTCTAACGTGGAGCAATTCATATTCTTGGTTTCACATAGTTTTGTCTTCATTGTTTTTGAGGTCACTTTTTTTCCTTTTAGCCAAAAAATACTGATTTCCACAGCGATGATAAAGTAATATAAAACTCATCTGGATCAATCTCTCTTTCCGGGAAAAGGATTAGAATGCAGGTTCTCTTGGGGTAAGATTGTTTTGTAAAATTTCCAAGTTTTCAGTTTGAGCATATCACAAAAGCTGCATTGTCCCTTTTTGGAGAGCCACCACAATTGGGTCTAATTGAGCCCGACACTAGATCCATCTTCCTTTTCTTTGGGGAAGGTGTGGATCTCTCTTCCATCTTAGGTTGCAGTGCTTATTGCCTAAAGGGGGAAAAGAAATGTGTGAACCCTAGTAAGAAGTAGGGGCTTGGAATTAGGGTCAGCTTTCTAATTTATCATTTGATATAACTCAGAAAGATTACATATTCTATAGGTTCCTCGTATTTTTCTTCCAAGAAACTGCATGGCTATAAAGATTGAACCCATAAAATTGTGAGTACCTCCTAGATCACACTGCTCACATTCTCCATTGTAATACACAGTAATGAATTATAGTATACCTGTAATCTGAACCTTTTGTTTCCATGTTTCCATGAAAGGCTAAATATGAATTTGACTAAAGATTGGTAAATCAATGTATGCAAATTAAGATTATGGGTCTAGTTAGTGTCCTTGACCTGAACTAAGCATATGTAAATTTATCTGGAGCATCTCTGGAAAAGATGAATAAACCACTTGCTATGGGCAGGAGAGGTCAATTGCTTATCTTAACCTTTTTAGATGCAAAGAAGGTAGTATGTTGAGAACATATGAATGTGAGTTTTGTGTATTTGTGATTTTTAATCCTGTTGAAATAGGTCTCCCTGTTCTCCAGATAAAGCATAATACCTGCCTTAAGTTACCCAAGCAGTAAGGGAAGGAGCTAGGATCCAAATCAAGTTCACTTCTGAAGTCCAGCTCTTTTGATCAGAACCCTGAGGTGACCCTCGAAGTGACTGGGAGCTGGGTCACCACAATGTGGATAGGCTTGTACCAGGCTGACAGTTTGCAAAGAAGATGGAGGTGGATTCAGGAGGCAGGGAGGGTTGATCCCCACCAGAGCTACAGTACAAGAATAGGAAAAATGCCTTTAGGAAATAGAAGCCCTAAAGAAAGTTGCTATACGTTTTGTGAGGTTAAAAGGCATTTCAAGGCAGTTTTTGGAAAACATAAAAACATGGTTCAAGTGTTTGCTAACTCCTAAGCAGTGATGAAAAATATAAATTGCATGTGAACCTAGCTAGCAGTAATAACCCTTAAGAACACGGCCTTAAGAAAACCTCATGGGCCTTTTTCTAAAGGCCCTCATGGGCCAGTTCTGAAGGGGTTCGTGGTGGGCCCCCAGCTAAGAGTGCTGGATGCTGTTGCATAATTTGCTGCCAGCTGAGTTCCTCAGTTCTAACTGGTGGGCAAGGAGGGCAAAGCCCAGCTGATTTATTATTCCACATTTGGCCACAGGGACTAGGACGCTTGCCTCACACTAAACGTGAGTCCCAACATGACTTTAGATACAGAAGAAATCTTACAGTGATCTCTTTTTCATTATTCAAATCAGTAACAAACATCTGAAAAAAATTTTCTTTTATCGGTGTTTCTTTTTAAAGGTCAGAACTTTCATAAGGACGCAGAGGATGTAAATGTAGCAGGGCCTACCTGTATCTGCCTGGTGCCCTCCTCCAAGAGTTACCTTTCACTTTTGACTTGGAGAATTTGAACTCAAGGGGAAAGGGTTGTGGCCTCCGGGGAACAGTATGTTTCCAAAGAATAAGAGCCTCTTGATTAAAAGATCAGATTTGTAAAACAAAACCAATACCTCACGCAGCTTTTGACAACTCTTCCCAGTGCAGTGAAAGAAAGTGCCTGGCCTCTGATCTCTGCTGTGTGCTGCTGGGGAGAGGGAGGGACTGCAGGAAGTCACCTAGTGCTCCCTTCTTTCTGTTCTTTCTCTTGCCTGCATCAACATCACCCCTTTCAAAAGTTCATTCCATCCCTTGAGTAGGGGCAAGACCTAAACTGTGCCTTTATGAACCCTGAAGAGCCAAAAGGGTGAAGCTTTTGATGAAACAACATGAATCATGAGGAAAGCATGTATTAGAAATTAGAAAGCTAGGGGCTGGGGATTTAGCTCAGTGGCGTAAGCACCTGCCTTGCAAGAAGGCGGTTGTGAGTTCAATCCCCGGTACTGATAAAAATGAAAAAGACAAAAAAAAAAAAAAGAAAGAAAGAAATTAGAAAGCTGCATTCAAACCTAAATTCATGTTTGGGCCACATTGTTACCGCATTTTTTTTTTCTTTTTCTTTTTTATTGGTACCGAGGATTGAACTCACGACTGCCTGCTTGCAAGGCAGGAGCTTACGCCGCTGAGCTAAATCCCCAGCCCGTTACCACATTCTTGTCAACGTACTTGTTCCAATATGAAGTAGCAAGTTAAATTCTAAAGAAGTTAATGTAAAGTTTCATATTTAGGCCAGCACCAATAATTCATGGTCATAATTGGTCAAAGGTAAGCATACTGCTGGGATAAGAGCATATATATATATATATATATATATATATATATATATATATATATATTTGTACCAGGGATGCAGCTCACAACCTTGCGCTTGCCAGGCAGGCACTTAACACCACTGAACTAAATCCCCAGCCCAAGAGCATATATTCTAAGGCTTGGATAGAAAGGTGTCTCTAAATAATTGGTACATATATTTATTCATTTTTTTCCCAAAAATATTTTTAAATGTCCACAAAGGATCATTTTCAGTCTTTTCCTTTTTTTCCAGGGATCGCTCTGATTTTGCCTGTTAAAAGTTGCCTTACTAACCCAGAACTTTTGGTAGTATGTAAAGTCAAGTCTTCCCGTTTAGGTATAAGAGCAAGTAATCTTGCCATCTTCAAACTGTGCAGCCCCGGAGTTGGGGCATGTTCACCACCCCTCCCCAGGAAAACAACAGAAGTATGAGTCCTCTGCCTGCTCTTTGTAAATCCAGAGAAGTGCACATATTTTCTTTAAAAGACTTACGTTCTTATCTCATTACTCTTCTACTTTGTTTAAGGAAAAATGCCACATATCCTTTAAACAACTTACAAGGCAGGGAGGGGAGAGGCTCAATGGTAAAGCATATCCTTATTAGTACACTCTTGGCTCTGGGTTTGATCTCCACCACCAAAATCAAACATTACAAGGTTCTTGTATTTGTCTTAGTGGCAAGTAGTGAGTCTCAACACAGAGTAAAACTGAGAATGCAACAGCAGAATCAACAACAGAAAAGCCGGTGAGGCAGTGTTAGCAAGGGGCATGTGGTTCACAAGTGTGCTCAATTTCTCTCTCTTAAAGTTTTGTTGTCCCAAATTTGACAGAGATGATCAATTTAATTTACAAATGGAGAAAGGAGCTCATAGGAGTCAAAAAGATTTTGTGAAGATGACACGAAAATGTGACCTGAGATCCAAAAGAGCACTAGACTTTAAAAGCACACAGCTGACATGCAGGTCACTCTTTGGGACCTCTTTCAAAGGCCTTGCACTGGAGTATATATTGGGGATAGAAAAAGAAAACAAAAAACTACAAAATGCTAAAGATTATTATAATGATTTCATATGCATTGCAGTATGCAAATCAGGTAAGTTTTGCAAGTATTTCGTATTTCCAGAAGCTGAGAGGCCAGGTTGGTAAGCAGTCTGTAAAGTATTCAATGTAACTCATAGTGTCAACCTCTTGCCTGTTGTCCACAGAGGACCTGAGCTGGTTTCCAAAAAATACAAAGAGCAATGTGGGGTGCACATGCAGAACTCAAAAAAGCCGCAAAGCTAGTAATTTACACATGGTTAACACAACAACCATCAAACTTGACCCTTTTATAAAACAGAATTGAGTTCTGTTTTATATATAAATAACTCGTCATTTTTTTCTTCATTCAAGGCTAGATTTCATAGATGTTTTAGTTACAAATCCTTCTAGGCCAAAAAAGTAGAAGGGCCTTATTTGTTACTCCCAGGCACCCTTCTTTTTTTATTACTCCTCTGCTGATGTAACCTACACAGTAGTGTGTCAGCGCTCAGGACTGACACCAGGGACCCAGAATACTGGCATCGGACTGGGGAAACAGTTAAGACCAGGTTAATTTTT